CATACACCTGATAAACATCCAGGCTGATGTTAGCATTTAAGCTAAAAGTTGTGTGTAGCTACAGCCCCACTGAGCTGCTGGGGTGTCAAACTCAAGGACCGGGGGCCAAATCCGGCCTGTGACTTTATTTCATGCGGCCCCACAAGAGCTTGCAAAGAATATTGTGTTTATTATACGGTTACATGCCGATTTACAGAAGCACGTTGCCCATAAACTACATGCATCTCAAATATGCCTTTTTCTCAGAATTTGCCTTTTTTTTCAAAATGTTACTTTTTTTTCAAAATGTTACTTTTTATTTTTTCCCAAAAGAATTCACTTCTTTTTTTAAATTTTGGCTTTTGATTTTTCCAGAATTTGGCTTTTCTTTTTAAATCATTTTGTGATGTGCGCACTGAAGAGACTTGCAGTTATTTGCCCTAGACTTCTGCTTTCAGGCGTAGTTAATTATTAAGTTATTACCCTATCCGATAATAATCCAATGCAGAGGCAATAATATAATATGATACATTATTTTATATATATTAAATAATTATATATGTATTTTTATATAGTCTTAAAGTTACCGCCGGCCCTTTGAGTGCAACTACAATGCTGATGTGGCCCGCGATGAAATTGAGTTTGACTCCCCTAGACTGTCTGTACTTTTGTTTCAGAGTGACTCTCTCTTTGTCACTGTCCCGGTAAAGCATCGTGACAACTGTTGTTGTCTGTCTCTAGATTTGTAGCCTCTGAAGCTAGAGGTGCATACCGGTTCCCGGTATTACCGAAATACCGGTTACTGGCTTCTATGGTATACCGTACCGAAATCAGATCCGGTTTTCGATACTTTTTATTTTTTTATCCTTAAATTTGTGCCCAAACCGTCGGAATTACGATGTCAATTTCGCCGTGAAACGCCGCAAACGAGTCACTTTAGAAAATCTAAAGTGTGGCTGCATATGACTGCCAGTCTGAATGGTGGGGTCTGTAACCACTGCCAGTCTGAATGGTGGGGTCTGTAACCACTGCCAGTCTGAATGGTGGGGTCTGTAACCACTGCCAGTCTGAATGGTGGGGTCTGTAACCACTGTCAGTCTGAATGGTGGGGTCTGTAACCACTGCAAGAATTTTATTTCTGGGAAAGGTGGCAACACATCCAACCTCCAACCAATGCTATCTCGTATGCCAACCACCTTTGTGTTCAGGGAAGCAGCGTGCCAAGCGAGAGTGTGTTCAGTTTAGCAGGTGATATCCTATGCTGTGAAAGGGCCCGTTTGGATCCAGAGAGCAGATATGCTCATCTTCTTGAAGATGAATGCACAAAACTGAACTGTGATGGGATTTGTTTTCTTTCATCAGGCAAATGTTGATTTTAATGATGCTATTTTCTTTTTCCATTGACAAGATGTACTATTCACGCCTGATGGTTGATATAAATGATATTGCAGAATCTTTTTTCTTCATAGATAACGTGTTTTTCATTGTTTGTTCAGTACTAAAAGGTCCAAGTCCCACAATTGAATTTAATATTAATTTGACATGTAAACTATATAATAAAGCGCTTCATGGGAGTAATTGCGGGATGATTCAATTTTTCCCTTATGCAACATGAAAGTATCACGATATGTATCGGTTGAGTATCGGTATCGTTCAGTGGTATCGGTATCGGTATCGGTATCGGTATCGGTATCGTAAAAAAAGTCAACGATATGCAACCCTACTGAAGCTCATGCTCCTTCAGGGCAGGGCCTGTTCAGGGCAGATTCACAGATTCATAAAATTCAAAACCGAAAATGTCCAAACGGGGGCAAACTACAGAACGTTGTCCATTTTTTATTGGCCCTCAGCAGATTCAAAAAGTATGCTTTTCTTATATTGTACTTCTTAAATATTCTGTATCTAAACATAATATTACACAGTAGCATTCATGTGTTAATAAGCCCACTTTTCAAATGATTTCAGTAAATTAAAGTTGAAAACATTTTCTAACTAATCTTGGTTGATAGAAAAAGCCCAATAACTTATTTGCATGATAGCTTGAAATATACCCTTCATATTTCCCCTTATTATAAGCAATCTGAGGCTCCTTTTTTAAAGAATGAGCTGCCAAATCTTTATGTTATAAAATAAATGAAACCCTATGTAAAGCTGTGACTGTTTGTTTTCTCAAAGCATATTCAAGTATCAAGCATTATTTACCTGCATTTGATTTAGCTTACTTATAACTTAACATATATGGCAATATACCTCACTTCTAGCTAGTGGCCCAGCTCTTTGTGTGTTTTTCTATATGTGGCCCTCATTGAAAAAACCTTTACACCCCTGATCTAGACTGTTCTTGTCTGAGTTGCAGAGTGTCAGAGATATCAGACAAATATCTGTCTCCTTTCTACTATTATGGAACTAGATGGCATGTGGTGCTCAAATCACAAAAATAAAATACATTTGAAAAACTCTATGTCTCTTTTGAGAAATCATGACCCATAAGATTAGCCATACCACACACCTGGTTGTGAGTAGTTTTATAGGAGCTACTTTCTTTCTACCAAACTACAACAACCAACTATATTACAGCACAGAAGGAATCATGCTCCTACCCTTAAGTGTGAGGCTTCTAAAAACGAGATGTAAACATTAATAAATTCCTCTCCGGCTGAGCTGTAGCTAGCTAGGTGATTAGATAGAAGCTTTCTTCAGCGCAGTGATACGGTTGACATGCTTAGTTTGGTAGGAAAAAATAGTTTCTACATAAGACTACTTCCAACATGATCTGTGGAAGTAAATTGGGTCATGGTTTCTGTAAAGAGCCATTGCTGTAGCGTATTTTAAATGTATATTTTTGCCGCTTTGAGCACCACAAGGTCGGTGCCATCTAGCTTCATTATATTGGAGACAAGACTCTTTTTTTTTACGGCCAATATCTTAACACTAACTACCCGCACCAAATCACACTAAATTGATAGCACTTCAGGTACGATTTTTTTCCCACAAGATGTAAAAATGTAAAGACTCCTCTACAACTAAGCAGTAATGCTATCTTCTGCGCAGTGATATGGTTAATGGGCATAGTTGGTAGAAAGAAAGTAGATCCTTCATAAAACTACTTACAACATGGTCTGTTGATTCTTTTTGAGTAACTGGGTCATAGTTAATGTAAAGACATATTGCTGTAGCACATTTCAATTGTATTTTTGGGCGAATTGAGCACCACAAGCTTAGCCATATAGTTTCAGTATATTGGAGAGAAGGCTTTATCTTTATGGCCGATATCCTAACACTTGACCACTCGTACCAAAACAAACAAGATTATTTAATAGCATTATAGGTAAGATTTTTTTACTGCAAGATGTAAACATTAAAACATCCTCCACAACTGAGCTGTAACGTTAGCTAGCTGAAAAGTTAGACGCTTTCTTCTGCGCGGTGATACAGTTGAAGGGTGTATTTTGAAAGTAGTTATTTCATAAAACTACTTCCAACATGGTCTGAAGATTATTTTGAGTACCTGGATTATAATTTATTTAATGAGACATTGCCATAGAATATTTGAAATGTATTTTTTTGCCGCTATGAGCACACGATAAGTGCCATCTAGCTCCATTATATTGGAGACATGGCCAATATCTTAACACTTGACGACTCGCACCAAAACACACTAAATTGATACACTACAGGAAAAAAATGTTGCCCGCAAGATGTATAAATAAAAAAATCCTCTACAACTAAGCAGTAACGCTAGCTAGCTTGGTAAAATAACACTTTCTTCTGCGCAGTGATATGGTTGATGGGCGTAGTTGGTAGAATAAAGTAGTTCCATCATAAAACTACTTATTATTTTGAGTAACTGGGTAATCATTTCTAGTATTTTAAATGTATATTGTTGGCGCTTTGAGCACCACCCGCTAACTGCCATATTTCCATTGTATTGAGGGGAAGTCTTTATCTTTATGGCCGATATCTCAACCCTCTACAGCTCAAACCCAAACAATCTAAATTGGTAAATAGCACTGCAAGTAAGATTAGTTGTTTTTTTGTTGATCAGTGTCAAAAAGTATGTTCGATCTACTTTGAATTCATGTTGTAAAAACGTTCAAAGGGGGTGAATCATTTTGTTAAGAGCAGCAGTAAGTGTGACGCCCGTTCTTCACAGCACCACCTGTGTCTCTTCTACGCTTCCTGGTGTTGCTGGAGGTACTTCCCTCCCAGACAGACAGCTGCTTGTCTTTGGCAGGGCCGCATGTTTATCTCCATTAGCAGCATATTAGTGAATGACAAGACCCCCCACTCAGACGGCAAACAGTGCGTTAGGTATTGGCCCTGATTAGCAACGTTTGGCCCGGTCTAAGTCTGATGTAAACACCCCACTCTAGTTTAATGCGAATTGACTTCATATTTCTCTGTATGTGGCCGTGTACCTCCTTCCCACTGCAAATAAAGCATTACAAGTGGGTTTGTCAACAACAGTGTGCCCTCAGTGAAGCAAATGTTATAAGTCATTAGGCAAATTATTTGCTCTGCTCTACAATTTCCTATAAGTGTAAATGAAGAGGTGGCAGGGGCAGGCTGTATGTAACTGCATGTGAATGTGTTCATGAATGTGAATGGGCCCAGACAGCCGACAGCAGGGAAGAGGAGAAAGAGCGGAATGTGAAAGAAAATATTTTATTTTTCCAAACATAAACTCATCCATATTATGTACAGCTTGAAAATATAACACATCAGACAGAATTGGAGGGTTTGCTGCCAGATTCCACACAAATTCTCATACAAATTTGAATAAAAAAGATATAAAAATGTACAAAATATATAAAAGTGCTTGTGGAAGGGGAGGGTTTAAATGGCAGCGGGACTGCCTGTTGTGTGTGAAACTCCCATTTAATGTCCATTTAAATAGAAAGTACTAGACGTGTTGTTAGAAACCATTAAATACATCAACACCCTGATGAAGAAAAACACTATAATAATCCTATTCTCAGCAGTCTGTGTTTATAGGAGTACTACAACTGTTTTCCGTGACATCATACTACGGAGACATTGTCCATGGCGCAGGCACACTTCTCCACGATCATGTTGGGGAACTCGGCCACTTCTATCTCAGTGTAGTCGCCCTTCTTCACCAGGTACATGATGGGTAACGGGGCGCTCTCTGACGCCGTGCACCGCCTCTCCCCGTAGCCGTAGTTGCGTTTGGGTTGTTTGCAGCCCCCGGTGCACCTGAAGGCTTGGTAACCCGCCGGCTCGATGATCCAGTACTGCGTCCAGGTGAGGGCGCGGAAATTGATGAAGTACTTTTCCCTGCAGCAGGATTCTTTGTTTTGGTTCATGTCGCAGTCACCGCGAGAACTGAGGAAGAAAAGACAAAAAAAGTTAGATGACAAGTCCCAAGTGTTATTTTTTTCAGGAGGCCCTGAATGTCTTAGCTACACCCCTGCTGCCTGCGACTAACTGATAATGGTACTTCTTGTTTTCAATCGATTTAAAGTAGCCTACTAATATGTGAATACACTTCAAATAATGCGCTTTTTGGTATTTTCTTGGTAAGTCATTTTCGATGAATAGCTATTAAAGATTAAATAAATACAATTTTACTATTTTATTTGGAAGTAGGTTTTCACATGAAAGGAACTTTACTCTGTTGTATAGGTGATGACATAAACCTATTAAAAATATATAAAATATATTTAAATTCCCCAAAATAGTTACAAAAGATTTCTCAAAACCCTGAGAATGAGTAAACTGACGCCCCTTTGACACACCACGACAAATCCACTAATGCAAATGTTGACAGGTAAAGATGAAGGATATGGGCTAATTGTCACACTGACACAATATCCTGTATATCAAAAGCTCGCGCCCTTACCCGTATTCTTCGAGGTTCAGTGTGTAGAGGATGAGCTCGGGCTTCCCCAAGGTGTTGTCCGTCTGCTCCTGGGTGGTAAAGCGCACACTCTTGGCCATCTCTGCCGCGTAGCTGCCAGGTCTCTCGCCCTCGATACACACCTCCAGGTACATAGGTGTTTTCTGTTGCATCTTGGACCAATAGTGCACCGCCTGCGTCACATCAAAGCTCTTCCAGCCTGTCTCGTGAATGGGGATCAACCTGTGAACACGAGAGATAAGGGCGATTAATTAAATGATACAATTGAATTATTATTAAGATAACCCACTGAGAGACTGATTGCTCTACACGTCACGGTGAGAGAAATGACCCCTTACCGTGAGTCTACCAGCGACGTCCGGTTGGATCCGTTGGGCAGCACCTCCACCCAGTAGATGCTGACCCGGGCGTTGTTGACGGGCCGGTGGTTCTTCCTCTCCACCGCGAAGCGTTTATGGTAAGAGGCCCGCTGGTAGAGCTTCAGCTCAGCCATGGTCACCTCGCTGTTATCCGGAATCCTCGACTCCATGTCGAACACAATGCTTTGCCGAGTGGTGTCAGAATACACAAACTCCCCAGAAATATCTAAAACAAAAAACATTGTAAGTGTTAAAGTTGATACTTCCACTCAAGTTGCTTAAAAGTAATGTTTGGTAAAGGGAGTTTGGTGCGTAAAATAATGTTGGCTCGCTATTACGCACGGAAGTAAATGTTTTAACTATTGTCAAAGCTTTTGTATACACATTCATACATATAACATGTGAAGTATTTTTGAATGGTAAAACTTCTTACCAGCATTGCCAGGGATTCCCCTCAGGATGCCAGCCAGGCTGGGCAGAGATCTGCGTCTCCTGCTGTGGTGCATCTTCAGCATAGTCGTGTACTTATTTCTGATATGCGCCGGAATAACCAGATTCTCCAAATCCCTTTTATGGATTTTAGGAACTTCATCCAAGCCAAGCTTCTGCAGCAGCGCGTCCTTCATATCCTGGTGCGTAAAAGCCTTGGAGAGCCCGAAGAGAGCGGTGCAAAGAACACAAGCGCGGAGGAAATCCATGAGTGAAAACGTTCTTCAGTGTGATAAACAGCAGCAGCACAGTAGCACAAGTCACCCAGAGTCAGACAGTGTGCCTCTGACACTCCTGTGGCCCCTTATATCGGAGCGGCCCTCCCAGTCGTTCGCACTTTGTCAATGGGGGCAGGGACCCTTATCAGAACAAAGGTGCGACAATACAGCCCCATCCTAAACAGGATATCTAAGTGGCCATACTTCAAACAGCAACAATTAGACTCGAGTGCCATCCGTATAGCGGAGGTGTAATTTCACCTTAGTTCCACTAAAACTGGATGCTTGATGTCGGTAGTCTGTGTTGCATTTGATGTCAGTGAGGATGTAAATAATATTTTAGATGAAACATGATTGTGGAAAACAGACAGACAAATAACACATTGCATGTGAACTTTTATATACTAGTTTAACTTTATTTTGAAAAGCAAAATGTGTCACAAAGTTTTTATTATTATGGTAAAAATGCACTTGCAGGATGTATTGACAAGAACACTAGCATAAATGCATCCATTTGGCATAGATATGTTAAATTTAAACACTTTATTCACATGGCTACATAACCAGTACTGGAAAAGTACACAACACCAAGGAATTTTATAAATAAATTAAAAACAACATAATCCTCCAATACAACAGCACGCCACCTTACTCTCGGAACATTCAAATAATAACAAAAAACTAAATAAAAGACAAAAAATATATAATAACTAAGAAATACACATAACAAACTGACCCTAAAGGAATTTTAAAATCTCTAATATGTTCATATGTCTGTAATAATCTCCCAAAATCCTAGCATGTGTTCAATACAGATATTAAGCTCTGTAACAAATCCTAATGTGGTAATGTTACAGACAATTTCTGGAAATAAGTTAAAAAAATAGTGGCTATCTTCTATAAAATGAGACTGTCAAGTGAATTTAGCTTTAGGAATATATAAGAATGTATTACTAATAATGTCACTATTCAACACAGTGTTGTGCAATGTATATTATTTATTGTCAACACAAAATATAACTGAGGATTAAAACCTCACACATGTCCAATAGCCAAAGGGACGTCTCTTGTTATGGTTTGGTGTCCAATTAGTCAAACAAATTGCTAAATTATTTTTGAATTATTCCCAGTTTTAAGATGCTTGTCCGCTCTGAAGTGTTTCAGGCTGCTACACATGCGTCCCAGACAGACATCTCTTGACCCTGTGAACCTGTAGTGCCCCCTCCTCAGTAGCACCCTTGTCTACACACACCCCACACTCTGACGTGTACATTCCTCTGGACGATGTCAGTCTGGCAACAGTCTGTCACACAGCGGCCTTATTTCTGTCTGGGTGGCTGGGATGCAATTTTGTCCAGCAAAAAGGTGGACTAAGATCTAAAAAACCACAGCAGGCCATCCGGTGTGTTCATCATGGCACAAGTGTATAACAAGGGGGTCGAGGAGGAAGTGGTGCAGAGCTCAGAGGGAGGGGAGGGGGACGAGAGGATTAGATGTTTATTCCGAACCCTGTCACCCATTCTTGGCCCTCTCCAGCAGATTAAAATTATTAGCCAAACAGACAGTTAATCCAGGGGCTGGGGGGCCGGCTCGGATGTGGATTGGGGCAGGCTCTTCACAGGTTGGTGATTATCTGATTCCTTTGCGAGGATTTGCCTTGCCTTTTTTGTCACACAAACATTAGAAGAGGGCTGCTCTCCCTGGCTGCAGAGCTGCGGCCTGCGGTTGTGTATTGGCCTGTGTTTGCTCAGAGATGTCAGACAGACTGAAGGAGCACACAGGAAGAGCAAATGACAGATGACTGCCAGACCCTCTGCAGCCAGCTCCTGCCTGCAGTTTACACACAAGACAAATTATTAATTAGTGCAGCTGATACCGCTTGACGCAATGCATGCAGGGAACACTCACAGGATGCAGTAGTAAACTTTAAAAAAAATAAAATCCAATTGCATGTGTGCAAATGCAATTCTTTAATATGTCTAATAACATGATTACATATTTATAAGAATTAGTGTAGTTATTATCTTGGTGTTGTTGCATTTATTTTTAATTAATTAATTTCCAATTTATTGCATTATGTCATGATTTTCCCTTTCGCAAGTTTTGCAGATTTTTGCAAGATGAAATACATAAATGAAGGGCAATTTGCAATAGTGCATATGCAGTATAAAGCTTTGTTAATTAAGTAATAATGATACTTATGATTGGTTGTATCTGTTTTTTTAAATAATTCATTTTCTTTTTATTGCATATTGATGTGGCAAGAATTCTTTTTTTTGCATTCACTTTTTGCAAGATTTCATTAATAAATGAATTGTGCAATGGCAATTTGCAATTGTGTATAGGTAGTATAATCATTTTTATGTATATTATAGTATTTTTTATTACAAGGAAATACTCTTAATGTGTCAGAGTTATTCTTACAGCCTAACTGTCATGGTAAGATGTCAATAAAAACAACTTTAAAAAGCAAAACAAAACAACAATGACCAAATGTGTGTTATGAAATCCATTGTGGATATATTAGTCCATTATTAAATAATGCCTCAGTTCCACACTGTAATGTAATTTGTAAAGACCAAATGAGTGTTTTTCAACTAAGGAAGAATGAAAAAAGACAACAAATATATACATTTATTTTTGTTATGATTTAAATGCATGTTAGAGGAGTTTAAATAGGAACAGTAAGCTCCACAACACACAGTTCAATCATATCTGCAGCCTTCTAGATGCCCTGATGTCAGTATCAGTGCAGACATGTAAATCATTGCATCCATTGTCCAGTCCAGCCAAGGGCCAAGTCTAAGTGCTTGACTGTTCCCAATGGGAACCCTATGAGTCCCCTCTGCCTCACATTACAAGCCCTAATTCGGGAAATTAAGATCCCTTTGTGTGATATTTCTCAGTCTTTCTTCCTTCCCATGCCAATCAAAGACAAGTTGCCCAGTTCAAAGCTCCATCTGATGCTCAGAGGTGTCATTTCTTTTCAATCAAAGGCCAACAAGCTCCTACAATCCACAACTCAGGTGTTAATTAACATCCAAGCATTTGCATTCAAAAGCATTCCGATGTATAGGTCATTCCCTTCCATTTGTGAAACATGAAATCCCCTTGCTGGCGAAAAAACTGCTGTTTGTAGCTTTTAATATTACAGAGAGGAATACTTTGGTTGTGTTTCTGTTTACGTTATATATCAGCATCCCACGTCGTGTCTCCATGGGAACAAGGAGGCACAGCTGCAGCAAAAAGTCAATATTGAACTTGTGTTGGTGGTCAGCGCAAATTCCTCATTATTCACGTGGGTGCATTGTCACCCACTTCCTGATCTACTATTGCCTGCTTTATCTTATTACCAAATATTTGAAGACATGCGCCTTAATGGCCCACACAGGCTCTGTTTCAGTCTGGATGCCTCCGTGGAGCTGTCAGACAATTATCATCGCTGTGTCTGTCAGAGGGAAAGCGCTAGACCTGTGCAGGGACAATACAATTATTGCTCAATGGCCTCTAGACAGAGTACAGGGCAGTCTGATTGCATTTCACACAGCTCCCGGCAGCCAATCAGCGCGCAGTTTGAGGCTGTAATCCCAGGGCAGACTCCAGCAAATAGGATCAGACATGATTAGATAGGACTAACAATAAATATTTTCATTAACTTTTAATTAATCGACATAGGGGCGACTGTTAGTGTGCAGGTAATGAACATGATGCAGCCAATAGAACCCTGAAACATTCAGTTATATGGCTTTAAAAACACAAAGTTAATAGAAAGAAAGTCAGACAGTGTGTTAGTAGTAGGAAAATATGAATATCTACACGGGAAATGACTTATTACTAATGAAACTGTACTGTGAACACGCTGAAAGCTGCATTACCGTGCACACACATTAACAGTTGCAGGGAGGCTGTTTGCACAGCAGAGGGCGCTCTAGTGACACTCTGAGAAGCTTGGCCGTGGAGACACACTAACTAAATAAATAACTAAATAAATAACTAAAATAAATACAATAAAATAAAAATAACTCCACTAAAACGGCATCCATGGTCTAATTTCGCCCAACTGTGTTTTATGTTATGTATTCACCTTTATAATAACACTTTTGGCATGAAATCCATATAAATAAATACATGTATTTTTTATTAAATCATAATTATGTAACATGCTAAGAAAAGAAAAGAATGTGTGGCTACCTGTTGTCAAAGTAGACTTGTGTATTTCAATTTCCTGCTACATTATAATACTAAAAATGTTATTTGATGCCTTTAATCACTCTAAAGAATTAAGTCCAAAGTAATTATGATGTAGTATTTTAGAAGAAAAACAAAAAGTAATTGATCCCTTGATACCCAGAGGTTTACGTATACACTGTAGTAAACAAACAAGCATAATTTTAGCAATATTAACCCTCCTATTGTCTTCGTTCCCCCCCCCTTACTTTGGTGTTCGCGGTCAAATTTGACCGGTTCTGTTTTAACTGCTATTACATTAACACAAAAACCATTAATCATCACCAACTTTCATTTAACACCCTTTCAAACTGTAAATATTGTATCAGACTACTGGTATACATGAACAACTGCAGTAAATATACAAAGAACAGACACTGAACATGTATTGCGTGTGCAAGGTGTGATCCATGTGGGGGGATGGGCACATAAGAGCAGGAAATGTGTCAAATTGTTCTGTGTGTGTGTGTGTGTTTGTGAGTGCCAGGTGTGATTCACATGGGGGGATTGGGCACATAAGGGGGGGGGGGGACACATCTAGAGTATGTGTGTGTGTGTGGGAGTGTTTTATCTGATCCGGATGGTTACATTACCTGTCACTTGTTAGACACTTTTATCCAAAGCGACTTACATACTCAATACTGTGGACAATCCCCACAAACCCCTACATTACCTGTCACTTGTTAGACGCTTTTATCCAAAGCGACTTACATACTCAATACTGTGGACAATCTCCACAGAAGCAATTTGGGGTGAATTGTCTTGCCCAGGGACACAATGACATGCTGACTGCAGTGGGGTTTGAACCTGTGACCCCCTGATCCCAACACCAAGGCTCTATCCACTGCGCCACATGCCTCCTTACTTTTGTTAGGTTGGGTTACTAATTCCTTTTCTTTATGGCGGTGATTTTTGACCGGGAACACCATAGGTGTTACAAAGTTGACTAAATCATCCAAAATTCAATGAAAGTGGTGATCAGCAATTGTATATGTTCAAGTGTCTACTGTGAAGGATATCATAAAGCCTTAATGCAATCGAATGTAAAACAAAAAAGTTATGATTGATGAAAGTAGTAAATCGGTCAGATTTGACCCCGAAGACAACAGGAGGGTCACCACACCTATATCTATTTATTTAAATACCAAAAGAGTGATAACAGGCTCTATAACGACGAGTGTGGTTAACTATTAATCCCACTCAGGGTGATTAACATGGCAACAATTCATTAAGTGCACTATGAAAACTGAATAAAAACATATCAGTAAAGATATCCTAAAGACACAGAGAGATACAAAAAATGGATGAAATCAAACAAAAGAAAATTGAATAATTATTATGTTACGCAAAAGGACACATGCTTATTTATATTAATATTGGAATTAAACTCAATGAAAAACAATACAGTAGATAATAGATATAATGTGTCTGGATTTTATTTTAGAATGCTTTTTCCCTCTATTAACTTGACCTAATTCAGCAGTGCCGTACACAGAAAAGGGTCATAAATGTGGTTGCTTACTGAGAATATTTCCCATCTCAGAGTGGTTACACATATAAAAACTGTTGTTTGGCTATTTCGGATCAACAGTCATGCCAAAGCAGTGTGCTTCAAATTAAACTTGGTCACCATCAACATCTCTTCCATTGGACACATCTTTGCATGCTTAGTTGTTTTATGTGCACTCATTTCATCACAGTGCTTCTTTGTGCCATTATTTTCTCCCTGGCACTGCACAGACTTGCAGCAAGAATCCATTTAAATGGATTTATATAAAAGTGTTTTATTTTATGTCGCTCTTTGTTGCTGTGTGGCACAAAGCCCTCTATGTCTGCAGTTGCTATGCAGGCCGTTAATCATTAATAGATGTTCTTTGAGTGGCGATAAGCACCTCACTACAAAAGGACGATGATAGTAGAAATGTAAAATGACCTTTAACTTGATACTTTGATTATAGTTTACGTACGGCAAGGCACTTAGTATTGTAATGCAATATATTGTTAGGTATTAATGTGAACATGATGGCTACTTCAACAGGTTATTAGAACAGACAGGTGCAAATAGGTAACCACTTGCAGATAGTTCAATGTATTGATAGTCTGTGCTAATGCATTGATCTGTGCATATGAAAAGTGAGACGTCTTGCAGAAATACAACAGTTCAAACTCTAACCTTCAGGTCTGTTTATCTTTTGAAAGTTTGCTCTGAGGATTAAAGCCTCTGTCTTCTGTGAGAACAGTCCAAGGGGCAGAAAACATGAGATAAACTTGACACACCTTTGACGCTGAGAGAGGCATTCAATGTATAAGAACTGCAATGAGAGTTTATTCTTTCCAAATACAGTTTTTTGGGAATGTAAACCACAGGCCTGTTGAGACCACACAGGTCTGATGTAATGTATACATGCAGAAGCATTCTTTAAATCTATTTTTATTAGTGTTTTTCACACAGCAGTTGTTCATATTTTAGTTTTTACATTTAAAATGACATACAAAAAGTAACATCACTATGTAGTCACACACACATCATGGCAAAGGTTGTCCATAATAATATGACCGTTGTTTTTGCAATTTAAAGGGGCAGCGGTCATCGTTATTCCGATCCGAAGGAAAATGTGTCCTCTCCACACCACGTCACCAGCAGACTGACAGACAGCCCGCAGTTTCCATTCACAATATTGACAGCCCCCACCCAACCACCACCATCCTACACCCCCACCCCTTCCGCACAGCAGATGCTGTGACGGGCGCCATCATGATGATCTGGGATTTTGCCTGCAGCAGCCGTCAGAGATGCTACAATACTAAGAGATAGGCTGCTAGCTGTAAAGAAATGGACGCATTCAAGCCATGGCACAGCAAAGATGGCCGATTTGAGGGAAAGGTGCTCTACGCATGCGTGAAAGTTGGACCACATCGACATTTTTTGTAAAAACGACACACATCACGGTCTCGAAACGTATCGCATTGCAGCTAAACACATTCTCCATCGAGTAATAAAGAGGTAAAGTGTTTTATAGGGCTAATAAGTTGTGTTTCTAGTGTGTTAAAGCAGCGTCGCTAGCTTAGCGTCCATTTGTAGCTCATTCATATTTTAGAAACGAGCAATACTTCCCACAATCCTGTGCGACGTTACGGTTAGAGCTTTCTACTTGGTTGTCTTTCCCGTGGAACGTCTCTGGCAGCAGGCTGCTGGTAGCTTGACTGTGCAAAGACGGCAAGAAGCGACCGACCGGCGGGGGAGGCAGGCAAGGCAAAGGAAAGGACAGGGGGAGTTTAGGCTGTGTCCCGTATTTGGAATAAGCAAGACTAGACTACAGCTTTGCTCCTGACGTGAAACGAGCTCCTCTGTAACCTTCAAAAGGGACCCGCATTTTTGACGGCTAACTTACTGTCGGGCTGTTGGAACTCTTGAACTAACCGTCGCGTTGAACTGTGAAGAAACTAAAGAGACATTTGGACGAAGAATGGGATTTAAAGAACATATCTGCCAGCACTGAGTTGTGAAAACAAGGGAATATTTTCCAGTTGGATGGAAAATAACTACACTGTCGAAAGGGGACAAATTCAGTAGGGCTCTGTTAACACTGTGCATATTGTATGTCAACTCCCGGGGGAAAAGGGGCAACGATGGCATTTAAGAAGCAAGAAAAGTAACGTTAACGGTAGCTCGCTGGCTAGCCACATAGCTAGCCTAGCAGCTAACTAAGCCTGTGTCGCCCTTCCATTCCTGGAGCAGAGGAGGGGCGCTGGGGCTTTGTAGCATTGCAGATCTGCCTTGCATTTTTGGGTCGCTGCAAGAATGGAGAATCCTAAATATCCAACACAACAACTCAGGGGGATCTGCTGAACCGCGTCGACTCCATTCTTTTCCCATTTCTAACCGAGAGAAGACCTTAAAACTGCCACTTTACGTTGGGATTTGATCAAATCAGCCGGCCCGGGGCAGCCAGGGTCTGTAACTGTGACTACTTATTTTGCCCTGTGGGGATAGCTTTCATAAAATGGGGACGTGCTACATATTTTAGATTCTGGATATTGACAGGGAGACCATGACTTGGCCGGTTTTAACGCCGATTTAGCCCAGGCCAACTTAAAAAGTTGTATTATTTTCGGGACACATTTAAGAACTTCTTTACAGGCCCACTCTGTGCTAGGCCGTTTGCTAATTTCCCCTCCCCATTCCCTTCATCATCATTCATTACTTTAAAAACCCGGAATAATCATGTCGGGAGAGGTGCGTTTGAAGAAGCTGGAGAAGCTGATCCTGGATGGCCCGGCTCAGTCTGTCGGCCAGTGCCTGAGTGTGGAAACACTGCTGGATATCCTGGTGTGCCTCTACGATGAGTGCAACAACTCCCCACTCAGAAGAGAGAAAAATATCCTGGAGTTTTTGGAATGGGGTAAGCAGCAAGCCTATTTTTTTTATTTCCTGTTGTTTGGCTCGTGCATTCAGTCTTTTTGTTTTGTTTGTAAGATGATAGGCTCATAATATTGCTGGTACAGTGGCCCTCCCTTCCCCATCACATTCCTTTTATAGTAGCAGTGGGGCTCAGTTGGCCTTCTCACTCCCTAAAGCAAGGACACTTGTTTAATTAAATGTTTTATACAGGAATTACACATGACAGCATGTTGAAGTTACCCATTAAACAGGAGACCATAAACACATGGGAAAGGTGGTACCACATTGTCAAGCAGCATCCACATACACAGAAGCACATCAAACTGTAGTGAGGAAGAGCTTAACCAGGCCCTCTCAGAGTTTGATATCAATCCAGGAAAGATCTCATAAAGATGTCTTATCCTCCAGGCTACCATTTAATTCTTAAGAAAAAAGCACTCTTACATAAAGTGGATGCCTTTCTGTCATTGAACCAACCCTCTCAACTACTTTGCATAGCAGTGTGTTTTCCTTTTTTTAAGGGTGTGTATGATGTTGATACCTATCGGTGTGTTATCATTGACATTATTGAAATAAAAAGTGGTCTTTTGTTGCCATTGCAGTGTTTTTGTAACTTTCCCATTCCTGAAGGTTAGATAAAAACAGGCAGGAGGACCTCTCTTTCTGCAAAAATGTTTGAAATGTTTGTGTGTGTGTGTGAGTGACATGGGGGGGGGGGCGCATTTGGTTTGTGCATGAAGCAGGAATGTGTACAACTCACCTTTTTTTTATCTGGCGCAGAGGCCCAGCTAGCTGCCGGAGCATGCCTGGCTGGCCTGCTTGTCTTTTAAAGCCCTGAAAGAAGTGCTGCAGCACTGTGAGGCAACACAGGAGCAAACCACTGCCCTGGATTGAGACAAATGAAGGATACACCAGGCAGTAGGAGGCAGAAGTATAATGTAAAGAAGGAGCAGTTTGGCTTATTTGCTGTCATCTTCTATAATGTCTTTATTTGTGAAACAGCTTCAACAGGCAGCAGTTTGGCCTATTATAGAGTGGCAGTGTGAGACAGACAGGATGGCAGTTAAATCAGTCAAATGGTGGTTGCGTTTTGGCTGCGGCTGCTCAGTTGGTTTACCCCACCAGCCACCATCTGGACAACCTATTCTGTGCTAAATGGAGCTCTTCTGGCTGGTAAAATACTGGAAGTGGGTGGATTTGGTTTCCTTTTGGAGCATCCTGTTTTTTCTTCAATTGTTAGTCCCAAGTTGATCAGCAATGCTGGTGCTAAAAGAACTGGTGCCCTGTGATTGCAAAGTGGTGCCTTCATCCAGACATTTCCCTGTGTTGACACTATAAACTCTGATGGAGCTCGGCCAGACACAACACACAACATGCAGATGTGTACAAGCTGTCACGGTCCCAATGAGGCCCCATGGTGATGCCTGTAATTGCGTTCCACTCTAGAGAGATTTACATGAACATTATCCAGCTTTTTACAATAATATAAATTGTACCTAGTAGTCAATGAAACTGACTCTTTCATCCCCAGAGACTGTAAGGTAGACTGCATTAGTCAATTTTGATTGAAAGAGCAAGATTGGTGATATGAGATATTTTGAAGTGTCACAATTTGAATGTTGGCCAAAAACTCCCGTATGTCTCAAATAGAAAGGCCAAATAGGAGTCTTGATATCATTTGTTCTCCCAAAACATTCTTAAACCGCTTATTAAAGACTCTTATTACAAACAAGAGGTTTCTATTAAATGCAAGATACATTGTTGTTCTTACAAAGTAAGTTAAGTTAACCTTATAGAACTTTACTAGCTTCTGGCATTAGCTAACAGACGTGTACCGTGCTCTTGGTGGAGGGTACCTAGCAAGCTTTAAAAGAAAAAAAATTGATTTCTTTGTTGTTGCTAAAGACAGTCACAGTTGCTAAGAGGTAGACTAAAAACGTTTATTTCGTCTAAATTGTTGATTTAGGGATAGAAGTGTTTGAACATTTGAAAAATTGCCAGAAACACAAAAGTATTCAGGAGCTAGCAACAACAAGTTTAGAACTGGGCAGCACTAATTTGTTGGCATTCTTTGACTATATAACACTGGAGCACATGGGATATACTATTTTCAAAAGTATTTTTCCAGATTATATGTGAGTAGATATAAAATGGAAGCACTCAAGGAGTATTATAGACATCTGTCATGAGTCCCATTCAAGAGATGCTTTGCTCTCTTATTCTTTATTGAGTAGGACATGACAAAGTTATTAACCACTATAAGCAAAAACTCCCAAGGGATGTTTTATCAGGGCTAACTGAGATACATTTAAGAAAAACAGTTTAAAGGGATCATTTTGGAACATGGGAACGCAGATACCACTTTTCATATTTGTTTTATGTGATTTGAATCATGATGCATTATCACAGTAAACACATTTTGGGATATTATGTGCCTTATCACTTTACAAAAACAGAAAGCCATAGATTACCAGATATAAGAGCAGTAATAGAAGGAAATGAGATGTCCATTGGGCGGTAAGGGAAGCAATGACTTGCTGTTGCGTGGTTTTTGCATTTTGATGATGCAGTCCAAATGTAGCAGACCGCACCTTTTGTGGTGTAACTATCCACAAAAATATGGTATAACTGAGGTCAAGTCTTGTCTTGTTTGTGTGAAAGAAAAATCTCGCTTCATGCAACACTTTATTTTTTTTGTGTTTGGACAATTACTAGCTAAATGTTAGCTGAGGAAGTGATATAACACCACTCCGACCCGTGTTTATACTTACAACAGAGCCAGAGAGTGCACATGACAACTGCAGCCTATAAGGAACAGATTGGATCAGACGGATGGCGTTAACTATACTCAAAACATAGTTTAATCTTACGCACAGAAAAATAGTTCAAGATGGGCCCCATGAAACCTAAAACCTCTTCGACTTGTGAGTGATCTGCCTTTATCATCCGCTCAGAGGCTGCAGTTCTGACAGGAAAGATGTTACCTGTGTACCTTTTTGCTACAGAGGCACAACCAGGACAAAGGTTAAGCGATGTTCTCCTTTCGTCCTGAGAATGTACATGTGCCAGACAAGAACATTTGTTTTGGAGTTTTGCTTTTCTTCTTGTTTGGTGACCTCATTGCAGCTGAAATGGAGACCCCTATATGACCTGCAGCCCTAAGAGAAATGAACACGGGAAAGTACACTGTATCCCGACTCCTCACACAGCAGTTACTATGTCTATTAATTACAACAGCTCTTACAAGTTATGTCAACATCTTCCTTTTTTGTAATTTTATCAGATGTTTGCATTTGTAATGTTTCTTTATTTACTGCAAATGCCAATGGAGGCTTAATGAAGTTAAATAAGACATATAATGCTAGTTTTTATGTTCATATTTATATTTTGTATTTATATCAGTTGCAATGTGTTGGAGCGCTAGCCAATGACAGCACAAGTGTTAAGTAGTGATGTCACTCTCTTACAGAAGTAAACAAAGGAGTCCAATGGAGGAGTTTCATACAGAGAAACTCCCTATGGAGGGAACAGGATTTACAGACCATTTACATGCACAAAAACCTATATAACACAGGGCCCCTTTTTTAATAGGAAGGTTTAGCATCACTCCTCGAAGAATATGATAAATAATAATTAGGGCTGTCAGTCGATTAAAATATTTAATCGCGATTAATCGCATGATTGTCCATAGTTAATCGCGATTAATCGCACATTTTTTATCTGTTCTAAATGTACCTTAGAGGGATATTTTTCAAGTTTTTAATACTCATATCAACATATGAGTGGACAACTATGCTTTATATGTTTGTTTATTATCATTTGAACAATGACAAATATTCTCATGAATATTAAACACAACAACCTCTGAACATTACAAATATTCGCCTCAATTCAACCTGGAACCTCTCTCATACAATAATACGTGTGTGTGTGTGTGTGTGTGTGTGTGTGTGTGTGTGTGTGTGTGTGTGTGTGTGTGTGTGTGTGTGTGTGTGTGTGTGTGTGTGTGTGTGTGTGTGTGTGTGTGTGTGTGTGTGATGTGTGTGTGTGTGTGTGTGTGTGTGTGTGTGTGTGTGTGTGTGTGTGTGTGTGTGTGTGTGTGTGTGTGTGTGTGTGTGTGTGTGTGTGTGTGTGTGTGTGTGTGTTGTGTGTGTGTGTGTGTGTGTGTGTGTGTGTGTGTGTGGTGTGTGTGTGTGTGTGTGTGTGTGTGTGTGTGTGTGTGTGTGTGTGTGTGTGTGTGTGTGTGTGTGTGTGTGTGTGTGTGTGTGTGTGTGTGTGTGTGTGTGTGTGTGTGTGTGTGTGTGTGTGTGTGTGTGTGTGTGTGTGTGTGTGTGTGTGTGTGTGTGTGTGTGTGTGTGTGTGTGTGGTGTGTGTGTGTGTGTGTGTGTGTGTGTGTGTGTGTGTGTGTGTGTGTGTGTGTGTGTGTGTGGTGTGTGTGTGTGTGTGTGTGTGTGTGTGTGTGTGTGTGTGTGTGTGTGTGTGTGTGTGTGTGTGTGTGTGTGTGTGTGTGTGTGTGTGTGTGTGTGTGTGTGTGTGTGTGTGTGTGTGTCGTTTGGAGCTATGTGCAGCTCAAGGCATATATGCTCGAACGGGAGCTGCAATCATGTTGCGCGTACTATCCGTGCTGAGTGAGCTGACTTTTCGTACAATGTCCCACTGTCTGGCTACCTGCATAAAGTCAAGTGCTCGGCGCAGTTGTCGGCGAAATGTAATTGAAACAGCTCCTTATATCCGTTAGCGCAGCTAGCTAGCACCGGATGCTAACAACAACACGTAAGGTGTGCCTCGCTCGCGCGAGTCGCGCCACACACACACACACACACACACACACACACACACACACACATACATACACACATACATACACACATACATACATACATACATACACACACCCTCCCGATGGCCAGTCCGGGCCTGCCGGTGAGCGTGGAAGTGTGGTCTGCCACAAGCGGGCAGCAGGAACGGGGCTGTCAGCATCAGCTTGTACAGTAGATGGTA